CACCTCAAGAACGAACAATCCCACCCGTCGTAACCGTCCCAACAGTCGCAGAACCCCTGCGGGTTGCACTCTCCGTTTCCGGAGCACTGGTTGTAGCATTGGCCGCCTACAGTCGAAAAAAAGATCGCGAGGAACAGGATGGAGATCGGCACCTTCTTCTTGTGCATACCCGGGTACTAACTTCTTCGTCCACGCTTTAGTTCAAGCTTGTGTCGGTGCTGACTGTCGCGAAGGACAAAACCAGTGTGATATCTAGATTACACCGGTGGTGGCCCATGTTCTCTCATTGCAGACCGCGTAGTGTGCCTCCTGTGGCATTCGGCTAACAGCGATGAGGCTGTAACTCTCGGGACTGTGGACATCCTCCGACATCGACCGTTTCATTTTTGCGGACCATGTGGTCTAAACGAATCTCGCCGCATGTTTTGATCAGGCCACTCGCTGGATGTCCTTTAGTCTAACTTTGACGCGCGACAACAACAATACCCAAGGGCCCAGTGCACTTGACACACTTGACTCGTGACATATGCCACCCTGAAGATCTGAATACCGGTGGCGATGTTAGTCGCCCGTAGCAGCGGGAACGCCACATGTGAGCGACGACAGTAGTTGAGCGACACCAGGAAGGATCACACACACAGCACAGTAGTAGTCTAGTAGTCTCGTGGTTCGGTAGATTGGTAGATTATGTCGGAATACTCAATGTCAGTCATTAGTATTTGTACTGCTGTAAACAACTCAGATAGCTTTCGGTATGTTGATTCAGCAATCGGGTCACTACTGTACACACCTTCGGGTCATACATTGAACCATAGACTAGGTGTATGGTACATCGGACCATTGTCCGTAGGATAGACTATTCTTATATTGTTGCCATAGGTCGGATTAACCGACTGTTACCGTGACCGGTACGTTGTAATAGCCCGTGTGTTTCTTTTCCGTGATGAGATGGATGGCTCGCCCCCCATGGTGCTCGGCCCTTCTCGATCACTCCTTTCCCTCCTTTCCTCTGCTCTCCATTTCTTGTTCGTGGGTCTGCGAACATTGTTGTTGGATACATGTGCTGGATGATTTTGTGTCACGCAGACTGGTAAGATTACCGTTTGGTAGGGGGCACCGCGACGATTCACGGGGCCCCTCCTTGCTGTGGGAGCCGCTCTTTAAGCACTTCCTCTTTCGTCCGTGTGAAGGACGGTCGTCGACC